CCCTTGTGGGGTAGTAGGTTATGTGTTCGGCTGCAAACCACAAGGTCAGTAGTTTGAACTCACCAGCTGTTTACAGGGAGAAAGACAAGGCTGATTTACAGTCTCAGAAACTCTAGGAAGCAGTTCTACTCTGCCTTATAGGGTAACCAGGCTTGTATTCTAGCTACGATTCTAACTACATTATACTGGGAACTGAGTGCGGAGGTCCTCTTGTTTGCTTACTTTACATTCCCAATTGATCGCTAGTCACATGTAAGGGCTTTGATAAGCAATGAATAAAGATTTGCACATATAGTCACACGAAGACACTGACATTTACTTACTAAGAGGATAGTATTGAGGACATCATTATTCAGTGGTGACTCTTCTCCACCTCTGTGTTTTTGTATTTTCTTTTTTGCAGTGTGTACCATGTTTGAAACAGATAATTTATGAATTGGAACTGGTGCTGGCTCGGTCAGCTTTGACAAAGCATGAGTTATATCGGTAATTTCTATAAAATAGAAATGAGTAAGAATTACATCATCTGTACTAGCAGATTTAAAGGCTTGAGTAAATTAATGATGGTAAAGAATATTTTAGTGGAATGACTATATCGTCACATAATTATAAGTTTTAATATACATGGCTCTGTTTTATATATTACAAAAATTTCATGCAAATTACTTCTCCTCAGCAGACTTCAAAAACAAAAATCTCTAAACTGTATTTTTAAGAACATTCTACAGGTTTAGTGGAAAGAACTTTTAAAATGCATTTAACATCTTAAGCGCAGGGTGCAGTCTGGAAGTAAATGGTAAGATGTCTAATCCATTAAAACCTGTTTCTCCAACTTAACTCAAAATCAGAAAGTAAAAAGTTGCTGACAAATGTTCCAAAGAAAAAGGATTAGATAATTAGCTTAAAAAGAAAAAACAGGTCACCTCGCCCATCTTCTTCAAACGTGGATCGTCCAAGAATCTCATCAGTTGACTCTTTACGACGACAAATTTTAAAAAACTCACTGACAAAATCACCTAGATAAAAAAAAGGTTAGAAATCAATCTTATGAATTAAAGTATACATGTTTTCCCAAAAGCTAGTAACTAAGGTATGGCAGAAGACGAAACCATTCATTGTTTCCACCTGAGAAGCCAGAACATAATTCTCTTTGAAGGCAGCCTTCTCTTCCTTTCCCTCCACGGCGCAATATATCAACAACAACAAAATCCAACAAACTGCTGAGAGTTCCTTCTCCAACGAAAAGGAAAACAAAAACAACTGTACCTAATCATACCAGCTCTTACTACTGTGACTTAATGAGACAAGTAGAATTTATTGCATAAAGTTCTAGAAATAATAAAAATATTACTACACACACATATGCAGTTTTTTCCTTTCCTCAACTAGCACCACATTAGCATTCATCATCCACTGAAAAAGTAGAAGTAAAAAGGAAACACTGATAGGTTTCCACAAGATTCAGAAATCAGGTTTAAGTTACTTCAGCTTTAATGGTCTGTTAATGATATGCTTTGTGCTATTATTTTAAGAAGAGGAAAAGGGTTCAGTATGTTCTACAGAGTTGCAATGAGGAAGCTTTACCCCAAAAACTCGAGCTAAAAAGGAATCATCCATACCAAAGTTAGACAGTTCAAATTATGGAGTCCCTCTAAGTACTAGAATTTATAATTAGTACTGAATAAGCCTATATTATTTTTCTAGAAATGTGGGAAAATCCTATAATCTAGTCATGTAAAGCAGTCAAAAAGAGATAAATAATAATTTTTAAATGGGAATATATTTAATTATAAAACCCTCTGCAATTGTCACAGAAGTGGATGAAGAACAATAAGGAATTAGGAAAAGAAATTTAGTAAAGAAATGTAATTATGACTGAGTGGTTAAAACAACAGAAATCACTTATTATGAGAAGTGTTAAGTGTGAGGCACTAAGTGTGTGTTAAATGTGTGCTGCACATGCTCACACAAGAATCTCTTAACAACCCTAAAAAGATCTACGATTACCATCTCTATTCTACTGGTGGAAACACTGCGGCTTGAAGAGATTAAGTAAACTGTCAAAGCTGGTGATTTGAATCGATGATTGTCCAACTTCAGAGTTCTTAGCAGTGATCCCATTCTGCCTCCCTTATATTGCAGACAGCTTTACTAGAGGTAGAAAATTACCCTTTTACAAGAGAGCTTCACAAAGTTTGTGTAAAAATCCTTATCTTTTAATTCCATTTTCCAACAAAACTTAGCCCAAAGGGCAAGTGCTAGTTAGCATCTGATGAATAAAGAATAAAATGAACACTAAAGAGCCCCCCAAAAAATAATGCCTGAGAAATGCAGTTACTATCAATAATTATTTATTAATGCCATGGTTGAATGGTAGTTTGGGTGGATATAAGAAATCGAGAAAATGGTCATGTGCATGAGCAATGGCAGGAAAAGGCAGAAAGGAACAATTAGAAGAGCTCATGAAAGAAATAGGCCAATAGACACAGTAAGGGGGAGACAATTACAGATCGGGGTATAGTAATATTATCTGATTTAAGCATAACCATACATCTAGGGGATTTGGTTTCTTGGTTTGGAAGTTTAGGGTGATGGTTTCATGGGGCTTTTCAGTTAGTTGGCTTAATATAATGTTTGGTGTTTCTATTCTACCTCCTAGAGTAGTAACCCACCACAATTAACCCTAATGTAACCATAATATATTAGTTTACTTAGGTGCAGCCATTTTGGCAATGTAACCATACTGTATTAATTTGCCTGAATGCAGCCATTTTGTATTGACCCAGGTATGGCTACTCTGCAACTACTGTACTTCCTTCTGTAACTGCTGTTTTCTGTAACTGCTGAGCTGTTGCCATTTCTTTTTGAAATTGCTGATGTTGTTTGTAAACCCCCCTTTTATAAGTTCTTATTTTTTCATATAGCATGACGCCACCCACCCTTGTACCCTATTTATTCCACAATATAAACACCTCCCTCTTTAAGCATTCGGGGTGGAGGGTGATGTGAATTAGGCTCTAGCTGCCCTTTGACCACCAGCCAATAAGGGCTTATTAACTTTATTTAGAGTTGTGTGTGGGTTAACTGATCTTGATCAGGTAGTACAGTAGTTCACTGTGTAGTGCCTAGAGTCTTGAAAGCTTGCAAGTAGTCTTCTCAGGGATAAATGGTCCCCATTTTCCTGGAGTAGCAAAGGAAGGAGAATCAGGGATAGGAGAAAAAGTGGTATGTGTGGCTAACTGCCTCCATGAACACCTGCCTCTTTTACCAGGACTTCATGAGAAACTGATGGTACCCAGTGACCCTTACCAAACATTTTGATGCATGATTCCACAGAAGAATCCATATCAAAAAGGGGAAAATGTAAAACAATTACAAAATCTCATGGACTGTAGACTTTTCAGAGCCCTGGAGGGTATATGAACTCCTGAAACTACAGTCAAGAGATAATCTTTAAACCTTAAACCAAAAATTTCCTAAACCACAGGTTCCCAAACTTACTTGGCCTACCACTCCCTTTTCAGGGGGAAAAAAAAAATCACATAGTGCTCTGCTGGCAATTACAAACTTTCGTACTCTATCTCATAATGCAGGATATAGTGCAGATACGTGCCTTTGCAGCCCTCTGGATCATTCCTGACCCCTGCCCACCTCTCCCCGCAAGGGGTGGTATTTCCCACTTTGGGAAACATTGTCCTAAACAAAAGATATCCCTTTAAGCGTCCTTAAATACAATGATCTGTCTGAAGCATTATGCTCTTTTAAGAATGACCTACATGGGATTCAAAGTGACAATAGCAATTCAAAACATCAGACAGGAGTTGGAAGGGACACACTGAGTTTAAGATAATGAGATAACAATAACTCATAAAAGAAGGGGGAGATCTCTATACAACTCGAAGATTGTAATCCAGTCATTAAATTGTAAACAAGGAAACTGCCAGATTGGTGTTATGTTCTTCTGTTTATAGTCTCAACAACAAAATAAATAAAATCTAGGTGGGGGGGTAAAACCTATCTGAACAGCAACTGATGTTTTTCAAAGTCCTTTCATTTATGTTATTTCACTGCATTCTTTTAAAAAAAAATCCTATCAAGAGAACAAGACTATTCATATTCCTTTTCTTAAATCAGGAAGAGCCATGGTAGCATAATGGGTTATGAACTGGGCTGCTAGCCCAAGGTCAGCCGTTCGAAAGGACCAGGGAAAAAGATGACGCCTCCTACTTCTGCAAAGAGTTACAGTGTCAGAAACCCACTGGGATCCTTGTCACGATAGCTGGGATCCACTCAGTGGAAGTGAGTCTGGTTTTCTGAGGTTGGTCCTAAACCAGTAAACAGGTGTGCTCTCAGAGACCTAATCCCATACTTCCGTATAAATCAAATGGTTTTAGATAAGCTAACTAGGGATTGAACTTGACTGCTTTAAGAATTGAGTTTAGTATCTGATTCTACTTTGTTTATACTGATTTCTTCTGCTTATGAGTTATAGAAATGATTTTGGGAAGTATAAAATAGAGAGTGTGTAAGGCCACTTGCCTCAAGCCATTAATTTGATCTTTAGACATGCGCCCCTCAGTGCTTTGATCTTTGTCAGGATTTGTTTCTCTAGTCTACCCAGACTAACACATTATTGTTAAAATCAGTGCTCCTCCCATCATGCACCACACTGTGGGTCTCGCAGACAAGAAAAGGCAAAGAGGGCTCCATGAACCGAAATGGAAGATGCAGACTATGACACATAGCAAGAAGGAACGGGCACACTATAAAATCATCAGACAAACAACATTCAGGTAATGAGAAAGCACTAGGTCATTCTGAGGTGTAGACTGGTTAAAATGGAAAGACACTTTGAAACTGGAATCCTGCTAGTGCTGGAAAAAGATTCCCTGCTAATGGCAAATATATAAACAGCAAAACAAAACAAAAAAGAATTTTTACTGAGGAAGAACCAAATGTAAAACATAATTTTGGATAGAAGAACAACGCCTGAACAAATTCAATCTTCCTGATTTGGAAGTTGGGCAGATTGCTGACATTTTAGGGAAGAAATATAGTATATTATACCTAACAAACACTGAGGATTATTAGGGAAGAAATATAGTATATCATACCTAACAAACACTGAGGATTCTCTGCTTTTCGAACTCTAACAGACCAGTGGGGAGCCTGAAGAGGATCCAAATCACTAAAAAGCAAAAGGATAAAACAGAAGATTCTAATTATGACAATCTGTAAGAATGGTGAACCTATCAAGTCACAGTCTAATGCAAACACAACCTAGAAGGACAAGAAGTCCATTTTGCCTCCTTTAAACTTACTGTTTTCTAGATGTCTACGGCCATTTTAGTAAGATTAAGGGAAAAAAATCTTAAATAAAATGTCTTAGGCAAAAAACCAAAATGAACAAAAACTATGCACAAGCAGCAGCAGTGGAAACTGACAACTTAATATGAGAATTAAGGAGCTCGTGGTGGTAACACAAAGGTTAAGTGCACTCGGCTGCTATCTGAGAGGTCAGAGGTGTGAAACCATCAGCATTTCACAGGAGAAAGCACCTGGCAAGCTGCTCCTCCTATGGATGACAGCCTAGGAAGCTCTATGGAGTAGTTCGACTTTGTGACCCAGGCTCACGATAAAGCTGGAATCGAATCCAGAGCACACAACAATGCAAGAATAACATAAAAAATAATATCTTAAGCAACTTCTAATATAATTTTTATCTGCATTTTAAAGAATGCGATTAAAAAAAAGAAAAGAAAAAAATGTGATTAATACTGTCTCATACAAACTAGAGTTAAGAGGATTTCAAACAGTTATAATGTGCCGTATCTCAAACTGCTTACAGGTAATCTTTTTTTCCTTAAATCAACTAAGCTTCAGATTGTTCATTATCTGTGAACTATGGTTTCAGCCTGAAAGTCAGCACCCTGAATTTCATTTCTAATCCATATTAATAAAAAACATAACCTTAAAAAAAAAGAAAAATGAAAAATGAATCAATCTTTTTAGAGCGATTAAAAAAGGGGGGGAAATTGCCAACTAAAAAGTGTATTTTACAGACTTTTCTAGATCTTAATGTATTGCTCATAACATACTTACGAATAAACATCATTATCCACAATTATCCCTTCAGTCAAGTGAGGCCACGTCGTTGCTAAATGAAGTTCACTGAAATACAAAAACATAAAGCATACCCCAAAGCTTATAACTGTACATGCTCTCTAATCGATAATCACTTTAATAGGATCAATAACGATCTTATCAACTTTGAATACTTTAAAAACTCCTTTTTTTTAAAGTTATAGAGAAAAGCCTAGATGAACAGATTATTAGTTATCAGTCTCTACTTACATCATTACTCTACATTCATCCCAGCCGGTGACAGTATTAATAAAGCATCGCAATTTCAATATAAAATTAAAAAGTAAAATAGTCCCTGATATAGTTTATTATGCCAGCCTGGCCGATAAATACAAGTAGGATTAACTGAAGAGCGGAGAGATAATGGCTCAGTGAGCCTCACCTTTCTTGTCTCTTGCTCTTTGATCACTGGACCAGTGTGCGGCTGCCTTGCTCGTTCTTTGCCTCAATTTATAGGCTACACTACCTGTGGGATGCCTAGCCTGTGGACTGTGTCTCTGTAAGTTGAGGTCCCTTTAAGGCATCTCTGGAGCTGGGG